GAAGAGATTAGAAATTATTTCTGTAACCCATGAGCTAAATTACATATTTCTAATGAGTCTCCTGATACTTCATTCTTTCACGTGAGATCAAGCAGGACTTGACATAGAGCCAGGCACAGAATAGGGCCACAAAAATGTTCTTTTGTTGTTGTTGTTCAAAAATAGTGTTGTCCAGAGCTCCATGACAGTAGAAGGAAGGGAGTTAAATCAAGAGATGAATCCCAGCCCACTGGACAGTGAGGGGAGGAGGGGAAGGAGTCTGACACAGTGTTGTATGGACAGGTGGTCGGCCCTGAGAGGTGAGGAACCCGGTGCCTTGTGAGAAGTGTGTTGTCTCTYTGCAGCTAAGTCCTCTCTTCCCTAGGGCGCGTTCAGAGGGGAGGCTGAGGAGAAGCTTGGACCCCTTAACAGCCCCTCTGTCCTGCAGGACAGAATGTCACCAACCCGGTTCCCGGACTTGCTTCCTTCTGCCTCCGGGACAGACCCGAGCTTGTCTGCAGGGGGCGCTCCACCCGCCAGGGCCTGCTGGGCGCCGGGCCGCGGGGTTGGCGCTGTCCGTGGTCCTGGAGCACCGCGGGTCTCTGAATCCMGGAAACCGCCCGCTCTTGCCATTCGCCCAAATCCCCAGGCACAAGGTCCGAGCCCCAGGCCCGCAGCACGCCCAGGTAAGTTTCTGCCCCAGGGGAAGAAACGGGGCAGGTGGGCSCCTCTCGGTGCTTTCCCTCGGGCCCTCTGTTTGCCCTGTGCTTATTCCTCCGCTCTGGTGGGAGACAGGGGAGACGAGGAATTCTTCTGAAGACCACATATTTAGTGTTGCTGGCTGTCCCCTCGCTCAGGAGACCAGGAGGGAGCTAGGTGTCGGCTGGCGCTCCCTGGTGCCAGGCCCCGGGTGCCAGGTCCCGGCTGTCTCCCCACACTGCTTCATTTCACCCTCGCCACCMGCTGAGAGGGGGCGGTTGGTAAGTGTCATCTGACAGAGTGGGAAACTGAGGCTCCTCATGGAGTGGCCACACAGGGTCTCACATCATCGCCTACATTCTGGGGTTGGGATGGCAACCGACACCCACCTGGTACCACAGAGCGTGCTCCTGAACCCTGTATCAAACACTGGATCCCCAAAGAAACCAGACGTGCTCTGGGGAGGGTTTGCATTCAAGAGGGATGGACCATCAGACCATAGCCCAGGAGCTGCCACCGGAGGGGAGTCCAGGGGGTTTGAGGTCATTTCTCCAAGGACCAGCTCCCAGCACCACCTTCCTCTGCTTCCAGTGGATTCTCAACCTGCTTACTACAGGCAAGGAGTGATCCACTGGAAGGTTCCCAGAGGAGGAAGGTCCCCGGTGAACTTCCGTGGGTCTTAGGGGAGCGACCAAGCCAGCCAGAGCACCTCGGAGAATCGGGATTTCCATGTGGCCTGCAGAGAGGGTCGGGGGAGGCGAGGGGAAGCAGGAGGCGGGGGATGAGCTGCGCTGAAGCAGGAAGAACCGGCCGAGGCTGGAGTTGGTAAAGGGCACCTGCTGCCTGTTTTGGGCCGGCAGTGGTGTGAGCTGTGGGCCTGTGGCTGTTTCCTCACTGCAACTAGCAATGCAGGGATTTGCCTCATGGAATAGACTATGTTGGGGAGAGGCTGAGATACTCGAAACACCCATAAATCAGTGTTGAGCTCTGCCTTGGCTACACACCATGCAGGCACTGGAGCCAGGCGGACTCGGCCCTACTGCAGAGGGAACCCAGCCCGGCCTGCAGCCTCCATCTCTTCCTCTTGCCCTGAGCAGCCCTGGGGCTGCTGTGAGTTGGGGAGSGGCTGTGGGGACCTGGACCCACTTCCACCAGGACCGACTTCCTTTCAGCATTCACTCAGCCCTGGCTTTACCCCCTTCACCATTTCAGGATCTGCCAGGCCCTGCCAGGCCCCTGGCCTTYAGTCAGATGGGTCTTGCTGACTGTCAGGACCTCTCCCAGTGTCCCCACAACCAATAATGTCTGGTTAGCTTTATACTTTGCAGACCTAACTTTATCTCCAGAGTCCTTTGAGAAAACTGTTCCAATTTTAGTGTTGCCAAATCTATCAAACCTCTGGATAGGCGGGATGAGTTGTCCTTGACATTGGGCCATCATCTCTGTTAAGGAACTTTTATTTTTTATTCAAAATCTCCAACAAAAGATGACTCTCAGAACACCAGACTTGTCCTATCTTGCTATATTTTCACATTTTTGTTACAAAGATTCACATTGTRCGGTCATCTCTCAGGCCCAGAAGCAGGACAAGAAGGTCCTCTTCATGAGTGGCCCCTATCCTGACACTTGAGAGCGTCTCATTTTCGGCCTTTGACTATCAGCACCACCCTTGTGTACATATTCTGAAATACGAGTGGGTGCTTTGGAATCCTGTAAGAACATAACAGTGTGGCCCTGGGTATTTGGTATCACCAAAAAGGACTACACAAGTTTTCTTTTTCTCAGAGTTGGCATAATGCACAATTCATCTCCTTCTGCTCCTTGACATTCTCTGGTGTTCTTAGGTGTGTGTATGGTGAAGACCTTGAACAGACTGACCCTGACTTTGCACGACTTGACTTACGATGTTTCAACTTGACAGTGGCACAAAGCAGGGCTGGGGATACTGCTCAGTAGAATAGTGTTTGCTCAGCCTGCACGAGGCCCTGGGTTCAGCTCCCAGCGAGTCCCACCGTTATCAGGGTAAATGAGGGATCCATGGTAGTGTGCTGAGCCCCTGAGCTGTGCTGAGCCCCCGAGCTGTGCCGTCCCGGGGTTAAGGGTCTTATGTGCACCCCCGTCATGACCCAAGGAGCTCCTGTGGCTGGGATATTAACCCAAGCTGACTCTGTCTCTAACTGAAGCCTTTATCCAATACTCTGTGCCACACTGGACTTGCCCACTCCTTTCCTCATGGCCACTTKAACGCTTAGGAGACAACAATGCTGTTTATTTACGTTTGGGTGCTGCTTGAAAACCCGTCACTGCTTTTGTCTTAGCACTTAAAAAACCCAACGAGTTTGGGTTTTGAGAAGAGCATGTATGTGGTCTGTCTTCKGTCCACCCTCTCAACCATCCACCAAGGACCAGCGTCTGGAGAGCAGGATGGACAGTGGGAAGGCATGAGCCAGACAGAAGCCAGGGGCATGGCCACCAGGAGGAGGGTCGCAGCTGCAAAGCTGGGGTGGTGTGAACCAGCGTGAAGGGTCYAGGGAATGGTGGGGGCTGCAGGGAGACCATCAAGGGCTCGGAGCACCAGAGGAAGGAGAGGCCTGTGACAGGTTGTCTGAGGCCAGGAAGAAAGTCATTCTCAGCTCTTAGGCTGTGCACAGGCCCTCTGGGTCCCATGAAGGGGCTGAGGAAGGGATTGGGGAGGAAGAGAGATGCTGGAGCCCTTGGTGGACATGGTGGGGTGAAGAGATGACCTGGAGAGCACAGTGGTGGTCACAGCATGAACCCGATGCTGGGCAGAGGAGCTGGCCTCTCCTGGAGGGGCTTCCACAAGCTGGTGGCCGGCTCCTGCCCGRGTCCCCCAGCCTCAGGGGAACTTGCCTGGAGAGGCTTTCTGTTGGGAGAAGCAGGAAGCAGCKGCCCTGCAGCGCACCTCTGCTGTGGCCTCCATGTCTCGGTTTCTCTGACTTACAGGATGGGAAAGGAGGACAGAGGTGAGGTGGCTCTCTTGATAACAATGCCCCAGAAGGCGCTGGGCCGGTTTGAGCCCAAGTCTCTCCATCCCGCAGTGGCCCTCTCTCTGCTCCACCGGGGGGAGCTTTCAGTTTTGGGTGGCGRTGCTTCCTGCTTCCGCAGTCCTGACTTCTCTCCTCCGCCAGGCCGGGCTCTGGGGTGTCCTCACTTGCTCGTCCTGATCTCTGAGTACTCTGTGCTGCTGGTGGCCTCGCGCCCCCGAGGCATTGCCGACGGGGTCCCGTGGAAGCTGAGCGTGGCGTAGTGCATCTCCTGCTTCCCCGGGGGGACAGCGCCCCCAGCCGGGCAGGCTTGGTCCCCAGCGCTGTCGGGACAGGACTTCTGCCTGGGACCCTGGAGGGGAGGAGGGAGAAAGGCGGAATCGGGAGGCGGGCAAGGTGGGAATCCTCACCTGCGAATTCTTAACCCCGTCGCAGGGGCATCTGCTCCCCCCTACGGCAGCAGGCGCAGTCGCCCTCGGCGGCTCCGGGGTCTCGCCCTGCTCCTTCCTCAGGGTGGTCGATGCGGAGTTGGCCTCCTTGGACCCCTTGTCACCGCTTCCCGACGGGGCAGCCGGGCAGCTTTCCTGACTTGACCTGGTGCCCGCCCCCAAGCAGGGGCCTGTCGTCACTGCGTGACCCCAGGGAGCCCACCGGCTTGCTCTAGAGCCCAGGGGCAGCCCCCCTCTCCTGCAGGTCCCGCCCGAGCCTGGTGGAGGCGTCCTGCGCCGCCCCTCCCGCTGCCCCCGGGACCTGCCCTCTTCTCTCTGGGTCCCCAGCACCGCTCTGCCGCTGCACTGCAGGTGCTGGGCCACCTTGACTTGACCCCACGCCCAAACCGGGCTCTCCTGGCCAGCGCTCCCCCCAGAGTGGCCGTCTTGGTGGGAATGAACCGGATGCTGGCCAGATGGGAGCCACAAGGCACCTGCCCATATAAACAAGGGCCGCCAGGTCACAGGGCGTCCTGGGGCATTCAGCAGTCCATCCGCAAAGAGGTGTCCTGCGGAAGGCACCTGTAAACAGCCCCAACCAGACCCCTCAGGTGCCCTTGGGAGCTGGGGTAGGGGACCACTCCCCAAGAGACCCCAGGTCCAATTGGGGAAAACATCTCACGGCTCAAGGGGAGGTCGGGCTGAAGGGACAAGGGCTGAGGGACATCAGATCCTGGAATTCCTCTTCTCTCCGGGTAAAAATAGGGGCAAAAAATCTGTTTTTAATTTTTCACAACCCCCCCAGAGGCTTCAGCACAGGGAAACCCAGACTGAAGCCCCACTGGGAAGACAAATTAAAAAAAGAAAAGAGAGAGAGAGAGAGAGAGAGAGAGAGAGAGAGAGAGAGAGAGAGAGAACAACCCCAGGATATCCTGTGATAAGTACAGGATGTGAAGGTGCAAAATAGCTTGGTGAAACTGTAGCTGCATATTTTCAAAAAAGGAATGGAAAAATCACAAATACATTCTTAATAACCCAGAATGAAAATTTAGATCTATAGAAAATACCAACTTTTTACAGAGTAGAAGGAAGAGTGACCAAGAGATATGAAAGTGTTCTGTGTGAGACAGAGGCATTGATTTTTAAGTAAGAAAGAAGGAAAACAAAACATTAGAGAAGTAGAGCCAAGTAAAAATAAAATGTGAAATCTCCACCTCAATGACCACAATCAACACCAACAGGGTAAACGCTAGAGGGTGTCACAGGGCACTCTTGAACAGCTGCTGACACACCATGTACAAAAACCACCGCTAAAGCATAAATATTTAAAATGTTGGGGAAAATGAGGCTTGAAAAGCATAAGGCCCTATCTAACCCACCTCAAAGTTGGGTAGCTGTGTTAAGATCCAACCAAATAAACTTTAAAGCAAAACTTAACTGTGTGAATGGAAAGGAACATCATGTGTGATCAGATGTTCAATACACTGAGAATTGATGCTTCTAAAATAAATAGTTTTAATTAAAAGCACACAGATATAAGAAACACGTGGTAGATCTGCAGGGAGGAATTGACAAATATGTTATCATCATCTAAGATTTTAAGACACATTTCCCGAATATTTGCAGATCAGGGAATCTATCAGAAAAGATCTGGATTTGAATATTACAATGAATGCACTGGTCTGGGAACTTTTATCTAGAATTTAAGAAATAAAATATGCATATTCTTAAGCACACAGGAAACATTATAAAACCTCATTAGGTACAGGTCACAGATCAAGCCTCAATACAATGTAAAATTCGRTATAATAAAGACCATGCATTTTCACCAAATGGCATCTAGTTAGGATCTTTTATGGAAAGTGGTCTAAAAATATCTGTATAATTTTTTAAAACACCAAATAATGTAAGATTCCAAGAAGAAATTTTGATGAGCTCTAACATATCTGGAACTGACTGATGTAAAAATAACATATCAAAACTGGTGGTGTTTTAAAGAAATGCATCCATAACTACTTTCATAATGAAGAAAGAGCTATAAGTTAATAAGCTAAGTATCCCGCTTAAAAATTAGTGACGCACATCAGAATGAACGGAAGCAAGCAGAAGGCAGGGGCTGAGAAAATGAGAGCAAAACCAAACCAGGTAGAAAACAAAGGTGCAGTGAGAAAGTCAAACATCCCAAAAGTTGGTTCTCTGAAACTGATAATAAATAGGAAGACAGTGAAATCTACCTAGAGAAAAAGAGAGAAGTCACTGGGCACTCTGCCAGGAGTATAAAAGGGGAAGTAAACTCTCTAAACTAGTATAGAGACTACAGAATGCACACACACAGATGACCTTTGTCAAAAAACTAACATGTCCCCAGGAAAAAGCTCACTGAACAACACATAAAATGACTGATCTAGGAAAATGGAGTGAGGAGACAACACCAAGCCCTTGACGTCTATCAACCTGTCAAGAAGTGAGCCATCCCAGATTCATGCACTCTCCCAGACGATAGAAAGGAGCGATTGTCTTCACCACCTCAATGTTATCTCAATGTGTGGGAAGCCGTAYGTGATTGGGCACCTCCCTGACTGGGTGGGAGGCTTTCSGGCCAAGCTGTGTCAGAACTAATCCCCACCCTTTTTAGGTGCGAGAGCCCATCCGTGTGGGGGTGTGACTGACCATTGACCCTGAGACCAATCACTGACCCTGACCTTGGAATGCTGTCCCCCTCGACCTTCATTGCATGGAATTTTCCCCTGAATTTCTTGTTCCCCAATAAAAGGCCACTCCCTGGCATGCCCTCTCTCTCTCCTGCTGGTCTCTTGTGTCAACCTCGCTGTCCCACCGGGTGGCTCGAGGCAGGAGCCTCTCAGACCTGGTCAAGAAAAAGGTAAATTGAGTTTATGTGTGTTTATTTTGATCTCACTAGTTAACTTCTATGCTCAGGACCTCTAGTAGGGAAGCTAGCGTGCTGGTCGCGCGGCAGATCAATGTCCAAACAAAGTCGACAGGAGAAGAAAGGAAGTGACAGGTCTGTTGATGTAGAGAGAGGCAAAGACACTAACCAACTGAATCTACAGGGTACCAAAAACATACGCCCGGAACAATGTCGCTCTCCCAGGAAAGACAGAGTAGTTTCACCTGAGAAAAATCTTTGAGCAAGACCCAGGCTTCAATCCCCAGTACAACGACATCAACAAAAAATTGATCGTCACTAACAATGGCAATAGATTTAGGAGGGCAAAAATCCTATCCATTGGATTTTATTTGAAATGTTCAATAAAAATTTATAATAAAAAAATGTAAAGTGGTTTAGTGATAGAAAGGAATTTCCTTAACCTGAATAAGGTTGACAGAAACCAACCTAAATGGCGGGATAGTGAGTTAGAGAGTTCATTTCCCTCAAAGTCAGGAGTAACAAAAGATGCCCAAGGTCACACACTTCTCCTTGAGTTTGACTGGAGTCTCAGCCAGTGCATTAGAACAAGCAAAAGGGACAAAGGATATAAAGAGAAGAAATAAGCTGGTATGACCTTGTAGCTGACAAAATCATCTAATTCGAAATCCCAAAGGATTCAAAGTAATACCCCACACCAACCAATATATGATGTTTTTAAATTTTAAAATTATTCAAAATAATTCAATTTATATATACAGAGCATTTCAATTAATAGGATAGCTAACCAAATCAAAAGGATACAAGATAAATTAAAAATGTAATTTGAGCTGAAGATGTGGCTTACTTGTACAGCACTTGCCTAGCATCTGCAAGGCCTCAGGTTCAATCCTTGGCACCAAAACAACAATAAAAAATTAGTAATTTGAGTTTCATCCRATGAAGCTACTTAGACAATGGAGCTGGTTCTCGGCACCCAGACATCTGTGGAGGTGCTGTGTCACCTGTGGAGGTGGGTGTCACCATAAAGGGATGCAGTCACAGAGAAGCCCTGGGGAGCCCACCAGAGGAGTTGAGCTCCATCTGTGTTGGAAAGAAAAAGCAGAAGCTCTGTGTGGATGGACAGTGAGGAAGTGAAACGCATTTGTCAGCAGTTCAACGGATCTCAGCCGGTACCCTGTGGCCTGAGAGGTGGTGCAGCTTCTGTGGCTGCAGGAAGCCAGGTCTGTGTGCTTTCACTTCCCCTCAAAGTGAGTATTCAGGAAAGTGGGTAAATTGTTGACATCTCCTAGAAGAAAATACACCTACGGGGCACATGAGAGGAAGTCCAAAAGGATGAGCTGATTGTTGAAGAAAAGAGAATCACACCTGCATCGAATTCAGCTGCTCTGACTCCGCAAATCATGACAGTCCAGGATAACACCCGTCTCTGAGATGTCATCTCTCTCTGAGAAAAGAACAGGTCAGCTGGTGCAGTGGTGCACGCCTGTAATCCCAGTGACCTGGAGGCTGAGTGTCATGGTTTAGATAGAAGGTGTCCTCCAAAAGCTCCTGAGTGAGACAATGCAAGAAGCTTAGAGGAGAAATGATTGGGTTATGAGGAGCTTCACCCAATCGGTGCACTAATCCCCTGGTGGGATAGCCGGTGATAACTGGAGAGGGTGTGGCTGGAGGAGGTGGGGTGACCGGAGCCTGCCCCTCGGATTTATATTTTGTCCATGAAGGGATCTCCCCCTCTGTCTCTGTCTGTCTGTCTGTCTCTCTCTGCTTCCTGGTGTGATGTCTCCAGCGGCTTCTCTCCGCCACACTCGTCTGCCATGAGGTTCTGCCTTACTTTGAGCCCCCAGGAATGAATGGAGCTGRCTCTCTAAGGATTGAGACCTCTGAAGCTATGAGCCCCAGATAACCTTTTCCTCCTAAAATTGTTCTTGTCAGGTCTTTCGGTCACAGCAGCCAAATCGCTGACTGAAACACCGAGGTGGGAGGACGGCAAGTTCAAAGCCAGGCTCAGCAACTTAGCGAGACCATGTCTCAAAATAAAAAATAAAAAGGGCTGGCGGTGTAGTTCAGGGGCAGAGCATTAGTGAAGCGGGAGCGAGGTCCTGGGTTCAATCCCCAGCACTGCAACCAGTCAATCAATCAGTCATTAACAGATCAGCAGGCTCATGAAAAGACCGAAGAGTTCTTCAGCTACCAAAGGAATGAGACCCTAAATGACACCAAAGTCCTGCCTGTCATATTTTTTATTGCCAAAAAAAATCCCTCATATTAAAAAAAAGGCTCTCACTCATCATTTAGGCAATATGAAATTTTTAAAAATACACTTTTTAAAAGATAGATGTTATCATAGCAACCCTAACCACATTTAGGAAGAAACATCAAAAGAGGAACCAGCCCTGTGTGGAGAAATCCTACAACTTCCTTGAAGACACTAAAAGAGATTTAAGACGAATATRCTTGTGTGGATAAGAAGGATTCATAAATAAGCAAATTCTTCCCAGACTGACAAACAGGCTCAATGTAACTCCAACTAAAACACCAACAGAAGTCTGTTTTAGAACTTGACCAACTGATTCTACAGTCACATGAAAAACAAAGGGCCAAGAAGAGCCAAGACCATTTGTGGAAGGAGACCGAGGAGGGGTCTTGCCCCACTAGACATGGGGGCCTCTCTGTTTACTCCTAGACCGTTCTGGCTTGGAGACAATAAACTTGGTCATTGCATCATAGCAGAGGCCACAGAAGGGGCCCACTCCCACAWGGTATGAGGATACATGACAGAGTGGCATGTGTGTCAACACAGGAAACACCTGTGGGTACACACTGCACACCACACACAGACACCAAGCCCAGGCAGGCTCAGCACTTACATGTAAAAAGCAAAATATGAAAATTTTACTAGAAACTTTACCCAAATATCCCAATCTTAGGATGGGAAAGATTTTCTTAAAAGACACTCAGTAGAATAAAGATGATCCATGAAGATGATCACCTTACAATTAAGAACTTACGTTCACCCAAGGTCACCTTGGGAAAAGTGAAGGCCAGCKACGCACTGGGAGGTACATATTTCCAGGAAAAAAAATTAGTGTATCAATACATAAAGCCCCCCAACAAATTCAAGTTCAATCTGACAAGAGTGAACACTCAGTAGAGGAACGGGCTCCGGATGTGGCCGGCATTGCATAGAGAGGTGTTGACACGCCAGAGAAAATGTAGAGATTTCCATCTTCCTGGACACCCAGGAAAAGCAAACCGACCCCACAGTGAGAGAGTGAGACGAGAACACACTGAGACAAGCGGTCAAACCAAGCTGCGAAGACTGTGGGCGTACCTCCTGGGTCTCACAGGCACAGGTGGGGTGTACGTGGAGACCAGGGCTTCGGGAAAGTGCGTGYCACAATCTTGTAAAGATGGACCTTCACATACCCGTGACCCAGCCRTTCAATTCCCACATGATGCTCAAGAAAAACTCCCTGAATCTGGAAACAACTCAACTGCCCATTTGTCTGAGCCTAGATAATCGACGTGATCACAAGATAAACTATTGTACAGGAGGGAAAAATAGGCTGCAGCTCTGCACAATAATGTGTCTGAATCATCAGTGTGATCCAGAGTCCACAAAGCAAGTCCAAGAAGAGTGAGCAGAACAGGGCGCCCTTTGTGGGTTGGGAAAAACCAAGTGGAGTGTGCTTCTTATATGTACATATCAGCACTAGGAAGAGGAGACCCAGAACAGCAGCCCTGGGCGGGGACCAAGCAGCCACACAGGCAGGGTGAGGTGTCAGCCATCGCCCACGCCTTTGGCCTCAGACTGGAAGGAAGGCTCCCGGTGTTTCACACATTATGAATAAAAATGAGGGAGTAAGAGTGAACAATGCTTGTTCCTGGGCTAAGTGCTTGACCAGGAACCAAGCACCGTGGGTAATTCCATCCAGGGTAACGTGGACCTGGTTCTATAAAGGGGAACATGCTAGACAGGAGCAGGCTGAGGGAGAGCCAGCCCTGGTCCTGAAGAATGTCACCAATACAGTGAGAGGGTGGAGGAGACAGGTGAAGAGGGCATCCTGAGCCCCTCAGCACAGGGAGGCCTGCAGGACCCTGGGGACATGGAGGAGGGAGGGGGGATGCCCGCAGGGAGGGAGACAGGGTTCTCCTGGAGTGGAGGTTAGAGCTGAGGGTTAGACCAGGGGGCCTGGTGGAAAGGGGGAGGAAAGGGTGTTCCAGGCAGGAGGAGCTGTGCCTGCCGAGGCCAGAGCTGCAAGTGTGTGTCTCTGTGTGTGGACGGTGAGAAGGCCACTGTGGCTGGACCAGAGGACAGGACACAGTGGGGGCTGGCCAACAGATGATGGGCCCAGGAGTGTGGACCTGATTCTCCCAGCAATGGGGCAACAACTCGGGGCTCTGGGTAGGCTGGAAGGTAAGAGTCTTGGGGAGAAGGTTTTGGCAGCCTGTGTCCAGGGTGAAAGGCGGAGGCGAGGAGGGAGGTAGACTGAGTGTCCAGCAGAGTTCAGGCAGGAGGATGAGTCGAGGGCCAGTTAGCTTTCCTAGAAGGAAGGCTGGGCAGACATAGCCGTTACTGGCTCCTGGAGATGAAGGGCGAGAACAGGAGAGAGGGCACCTCCTGGGTCTCTGCCAGGTGACCAGGGAGGAGCAGGTGTGGGAAATGCTGAAGGCCTCAGTGTGGACGTGCACAGACCTCCCCGCCCCGCCCCATGACCCAACGCACATCACTCACCCAGGGGACGGTGTCCATGACAGGGTCCCTGTCATCCATGACCTCTGGTTTCCCAGGCCCGTGCTTTCTGCAGGACTTCACTCTGAGGGAAGGAACACACAGGCAGTCGGACCAGCTCCAGCACAAGTGGGCAGCCTGCCTCTGCCCCACGAAGATGGAGAACCCAGCCGACCCAGAGGCCTGGACGTGAGAGAGGACTCCATCCCGTGCCCACCCAGGGGTGAGGCTGAGTGGCCTGAGCCTGCATTTCCACTCCTACAGGACCCCCTTGTACCTAAGAACTTGCGTATGAACGATCATAGGAGCGTTATTCATGATGGCCAAGAGGTGGACGCAGCCCAAGTGCCCATCACATAGTGAATGGRTGAAGGAAATGTGTGTCATCCGTACGGTGGAACATCACTGGAGACTTGTTCTCTTTTTCCAGTGCTGGGATCTAACCAGAGCCCTGAGCATGGTGGGCACCTGCTCCTCCACTGGGCTCCAGCTCCAGCCCCCAAGCAGTGCCCTTTAGGAACCAAGAGGGTTGAAGCTCTGACACGGGCTGCAACGTGGGAGAACCCTGAAGACACTGTGCGAAGTGACAGGATCCAGACGCAAAGGACTGGAACCGTAGGGTTTCACCTACGCCAAGCCAGGGACAGAAGAGGGTAGGGCGGGGGGAAAATCAGGGGGTGGGGGTGACGATGAGAGGGAGCAGAACCCTTTTTTCACTTTGGCCTCATGAAAACCTTCTAAATTGATGGTGGCGATGGGTGCGTTCCTCTGTGAACAGCTGAAAGCCCTTGAGCTATTCACCTTCAGCCCTTAGATGGCAAGTACACGCAGTATGGACCAATACGGCTGTCAGGAAGGAGAACAGAGGCCCCTCTGCATCTACTGAGCGTGGCGTTTCTGGGATCCAGGGGCCCCTCGCCTGCTCACTGCCATGTACCTCCTTGTCCTTTCCTAGTGGATTCTCATGACCTGGTGGGGCCTCAGCAGCCTTTCTGCATTGGCCTGAGCTCCTGATGCTGGAAGCGGGGCTCAGCCACAGTTTCTAGCTCTCCACCTCCTCCCGTCCCTCAGTGTGCTCCACCAGACATCTGCCTCAGCCCCTCCGTCCTGGAGATCACAGCTGCAGACAGCACACCTGAGTGGCCCCTGCCCCCACACCCTGCATGGACGCACAGATGTCACCCTGTGAATGTGACTCCCTGGGGCTCACATTCACCTACTCCATTAACCCCCCCCCCTGAATCCACCTGTCTGGATAATGCCATACCCCCCCAAGGAGCCGGGGTGCTCCTTGACTGCCATGCGCATGACCTCAGGCACCCCCCAAACCCAGGGTCTGTGAGTAGTAAAATCTTTATTTCCATCCTGATCATTGGAGGCCTTCTCTGCATCTTAAAGATCCTGAATCACAACTCCGGGACCAAGACTTACATGCAAAAGAAGAGGAGGCAGAGACAGAGAGAGAGCAGGGCCCCTGCACCAGCACCTCCAAGGGCTGCGAGCAGCACCCCTGGCCCGGGCCTTCCTGCAGAGAAGAAGGGCAGAGGACTCACTCTCCCGCTCCCGGTGGAGCCGCTCAGGGCTGGCTCAGTCAGGGAGCCAAGGGACCCACTCCCAGCCGCTTATTCCAGACCCAGCCCCCCCCCTCAGATCCAGGAGGCTCCCCTCAGAAACCCTGTCTCCCTCCACGACAGGCCCCTGACCTGGCAGCAGCAGGAAGGTGGCGCTCTGGATGCCATGGACGTTCTGGGCCTCACAGCTCAGCCTGAGGTCGGAGCTGAGCGCCCCGTGCAGGCTCAGGGAGCTGTTGGCCCAGGGCCCCGCGGAGCTGGAGGTGACCCTGAGGGAGGCATTGCTGCTGTTCCCCTCCAGCAGCCCCTCCCCCAGCCGCCAGTGCAGGGAGGGGGGCGGCCAGGCGCAGGAGGAGCAGCTGCAGAGCAGAGCCTGGGCCTCCCAGGAGCAGGAGGGTCCCAGCAGCCTTGGGGGGTCTGTGGGGAAGGTGCAGGAGGGTCAGCAGGTGCCCCTCCTCCAGAATCCAGAAGTCCAGACCTCAGGGTTCCCGAACTCACAGGGGAGCCTCACAGAGACACTGTGGGAGCCCAGTGCGTTCTGAGCTCGGCAGGTAAAGGCCTCTCCTTCCGCAGCTCCTACTCGGGACAGGTCCAGGAGCCCAGTGTCAGAGACCTGGGAGACGTTCTGGGTGGAGGACCTCTGGAACCAGCTCAGCTGGGCCRCAGGGTTGCTGTCTGCAGCACAGCGCAGCACCAGAGCCTGGCCTTCCAGGAAAGCTGGGGGAAAAGAGGTGCTAAGAGACCGCCAGCGGGGTCTGCTCCCAGGTCTGACTGGACCTCCCCACTGCCTTGGCCCATCCCGACCGGATTCCTCGTCGGTTCTCAAAGGCTTGGCCCTTACACCCTGGAGACTTTGGCTGTGAGTCTTGAGAGGAGGCGCAGCGTCTCACAGGGACATGTGTGGACTGTGTGGCAGAGAAAGCAGAGGGCCCTGTGGCCTTGGGAAGAGGGTAGGTCAGTGCAGCAGGACCAGGACTCAGGAGGCCATGCAGGGGCAGGAGCCCCCAGAGCCGAGCCATGGTGAGGTGGGGTGGCAAGGATCTGTGGGTCCTGGAGATCCCAGTAAAAAGTGGACCTGGCAGGGACAGGGTCGGGCAGGGTCCAGAGGCTGTGTCTTTGAGAAGAACCTAGTGTGTGAACGTGGGGTGCACAGAGGGAAGGTGATGGAAGGGGACGGTTCTTCCTTCCTGCTCCTAAATCCAATTCCATTAAGCTTGAGTCCCCTGTACTTGGAGGTGGTCTCAGCTGTGGACAGGAAGAGCGCTTTCCTACCTGTGCCGTTTCCGAAGAGGATGCGGACGCTGAGGTTCTGAGGGGCATCTGGGAGGAAAGACAGGGTCCTGCTTCAGAGTGA